AAACTCCTGACCTCAAGTGATCCACCCACCTCGGCCTCCCACAGAGCTGGGATTATAGGCCACTGCACCCAGCCAAGGGATGCATTCACTTTGAGATCCCTGTTAGACAAATAACCACATTAAGAGGGCCCTTGGGTATGTTTTTCTCCATTAGAGAAGTCTGGGCTGGAGGCCAATACTTTGTCAGCATATTGATAGCATTGAACGCCATGAGATTAGATGCAATCACCAAGGGAGTGGGTGTGGATAAAGAAGGAAAGTAGTCAAAGGTTTGAGCCTGGGGAATTTTAATCAGCCAAGGGTTCCAAAGTGTGGCGGGTGGCTCACTCCTGTAATCCCAGCACTTTGAGGTGGGCAGATGACTTGAGGTCAGGAGCTCAAGACCAGCTTGGCCAACATGGTGAAACCCTGTCTCTATTAATGATACAAAAATTAGCTGGTCATGGTGGCACACGCCCGTAATCCCAGCTCCTCAGGAGGCTGAGGCAGGAGAATTGCTTGAATCTGGGAGGTGGAGGTTCTCAGTGAGTCGAGATCGCACCATTGCACTCCAGCCTGGATGACAAGAGTGAAACTGTCGCAAAAAAAAAAGCATGGGGCAGGGTGGGGTGGAGTAGGAGAAGAGAGGGGAGGAGGATCTGAGGGCTTGGGGAAGATGCTGTCAGTCAAGAAATTGGGATTACAGGTGTGAGCCACCAGGCCCGGCCTCTCAGCTTCTAATGTAGTGTGGTGTGCCTTAAGTAATTTTTGCTTAGGTGGGCTAAGGATCTGGTGGTGTGTGCATATCTTTAGGAGAAAAGAGAGGGGAAAAAAGAAAAATGTTTGTTCATCTTTTTAAATTTTTGCTTTTTGCCGATGTAACTAAATTCAGTGAAAACATATGAAGATATGACTTTGGAAGAGCTGGAGGATCATGAAGATGAGTTTAATGAGGAGGATGAACGTGCTATTGAAATGTACAGGTAAGTGCCACCCAGAAGGGCTGGTTTTTTTTTTTGTTTTGTTTTGTTTTGTTTTGGCGTGGCAATAAAATGTGTGGGCTGAGCATGGTGACTCATACCTGTAGTCCCAACACTTTGGGAGGCTGAGGCAGGCGGATCGCTTGAGCTCAGAAGTTTGAGACCAGCCTGTGAAACCCCGTCTCTACAAATACAAAAATTAGCTGAGTGTGGTGGCGAATGCCTATAGATCCAGCTACTCAGGAGCCCGGGAAGTGGAGGTTGCAGTGAGCTGAGACTGTGCCACTGCTCTCCAGCCTGGGCGACACAGCCAGACTCTGTCTCAAAAAATAAAAAGAAATGTGTGTCCTTCAAAAAATTAATTTTCAGCTGAAACATTTGGGAGCGACTATAGTTAAATAATGATATTGTGAATTTTAGCAAACTGATCTTAGATTTTTGCCATGAGACCGATAAATAAACCTGGGCTTTTACAAGCATTGCCTTCTAGAAGATGTGTGTGTGCACGTGTTTGTGTGCGGATGTAAGATGTTTCTCTCCTTGTTTTGTGCAGACGGCAGAGACTGGCTGAGTGGAAAGCAACTAAACTGAAGAATAAATTTGGAGAAGTTTTAGAGATCTCAGGGAAGGATTATGTTCAAGAAGTTACCAAAGCTGGCGAGGGCTTGTGGGTCGTCTTGCACCTTTACAAACAAGGGTGAGCTGATCTTCCACTCCATCTATCAAATGTTAATTTGAATTTATGTCTTCAGGATCTCAGGCCTTACCTATGTCAGAGGGTTTAAAAAATTTTTTTCTGGACCAGGCATGGCTCACACCTATAATCCCAGCACTTTGGGAGGCCGAGGCAGGTGGATCACGAGGTCAGGAGATCAAGACCATCCTGGCTAACACGATGAAACCACATCTCTACTAAAAATACAAAAACAAAAAAAAAAATTAGCCGGGCGTGCTGGCGGGCGCCTGTAGTCCCAGCTACTCAGGAGGCTGAGGCGGGAGAATGGTGTGAACCCGGGAGGCGGAGCTTGCAGTGAGCCGAGATCATACCACTGCACTCCAGCCTGGGCGACAGAGCAAGACTCTGTCTCAAAAAAAAAAAGAAATTTTTTTTTCTGATACTGAGTTTTTTGTGTTTTTATTGCTGGTTTGCCCAAACCTTATTACTTAATTTTTTATCTTAAGACTTTCAAATTAATATTTGTGGCTAATACGAATGCCTTTGTTAAAGTATAGCAATGGAGACTGTGCTTTTCTGTTTTCGAAAAGGAATTCCTAAGTTAGTTATTCCTTTACAGGAACTCTGACATTTCAACATTCTATGTAATGAATTTATCTCATAGATGGCAAGGCTGGCTTTTACAGTAGTAATTGCCTGAACTGTGTGATACTGAGGGCTTCCAATGTTTCTCAGCTCTCCAGTCTTGTCTTAAACTGTAGAGTCCAGTGCTTATTTAGGAATTTTTTTTTTTTTTTGAGACGGAGTCTCACTCTGTCGACCAGGCTGAAGTCCAGTGGCGTGATCTCGGCTCACTGCAACCTCCATCTCCTGGGTTCAAATGATTCTTCTGCCTCCGCCTCCCAAGTAGCTGGGATTACAGGCACCTGCCACCACACCCAGCTAATTTTTGTATTTTCATTAGAGACGGGGTTTCACCATCTTGGCCAGACTGGGCTTGCAACTCCTGACCTCGTGATCCACTCACTTTGGCCTCCCAAAGTGCTGGGATTACAGACATGAGCGACTGCGCCTGGCCAGGAATTTCTTTAAAACCAGGAAACGTTTTCTGACATTACATACTTTCTAAACCTTCAGCGTTTTCTCATTCCACCTTATAATAAAGGTATAGCAATTATCTTTTACATTGAAGCTGTTTTTCTGACTTGTTTTGTCAAATAAATTGGACTTTGGATTTGTGTTCTTCAGTATCCCTCAGCATATTAGGAAGTTTTTAAAAAACGTTAATTCAGCTGGGCATGGTGGCTTACACCTGTAATCCCAGCACTTTGGGAGGCCATTGCGGCTGGATCTTGAGCTCAAGTTTAAGAGCAGCCTGGACAACGTGGCGAAACCCTGTCTTTACAAAAAAAAAAAACAACAAAAAATTAGCTGGGCATGGTGGCGTGTGCCTGTACCCCCAGGTGCTTGGGTGGCTGAGGTGGGAGGATTGCTTGTGAGCCGAGATCACACCACTTCACTCCATTTAGCCTGGGTGACAAACAAGACCCTATGTCAAAAAACAAAAAAACAAAAACAAAAACAAAAAAAGTTAATTCATTTCAGCTAGCAGCAGAATTACTTGTGAAACTGTTACAAGGGTTACATAGGGTAGAAGGTCATTGAGCTTTGTTCTGTATAAATGTGGGATCATAATTGCTTCTGTTTGCTATGTGTGTTTTACAGAATTCCCCTGTGTGCCCTGATAAATCAGCACCTCAGTGGACTTGCCAGGAAGTTTCCTGATGTCAAATTTATCAAAGCCATTTCAACAACCTGCATACCCAATTATCCGGATAGGAATCTGCCCACGATATTTGTTTACCTGGAAGGAGATATCAAGGCTCAGTTTATTGGTCCTCTGGTGTTTGGCGGCATGAACCTGACAAGAGATGGTAAGGGCTCTGGGAGACAGGTGGGGCTGTGAGAGATGGGAGGCGCATTTCTGTTGGAGAGAGAGTCTGTTTCCTGGACTCTTGTTACGGTGGTGGGTCAAGTTCACCTCTGCCTGTGTATGAGTGACTGTTATGAGGACAGAAGCACATTTAATCTCTCATCTTAGTTGCGTAATCAGGAACAGTTACAACTGGGCTCTACGGATTCATAGTTAAAGGAAGATATGATAGACTTAAATATAAAC